CCGCCAGCCTGGACAACGCCCGCCACCTCTCCAGCCTCCTCAGGGCCGTCCACTTCCAGGACCACGCCACCTGCTTCGCCACGGCCAACGGCATCAGGGTGACGGTGGAGGACGCCAAATGCATCCAGGCCAACGCCTTCATCCAGGTGGGGGCTGCGCCCCCCGCCCGGGCCCGGCTGCTGCTGGCGGGGCAGCCCCTCCCCGGCATTAGCGGTGAGGAGGGGCCGGTATTAGAGACCTTAGAAAGGCCCCGGTTACGTGGTAGAGGAGGTGTACAGCGAGTTTAGTCGCGGAGGAGGGGAAACTGCTGAAATCGCGGCATAGCTGCGGGAGCTGACGTGAAGGAAGTGCTGTGATAAGGCTGTGGTCGTTTATGAGATGTCCATGCTATTGAGAGGCTGAGCTCAGTGTCTGGTTTGTTCATGCATGCCTGTGCGTGTAATGAGCTTGCACCCTTGTTTAATGTGTTGGCACCTGCTAGGCCCACTGCTCCTTCTGACCATACCGTTCTTAGATGCATGAGAAAGTTCATAAAGTATCTATCTATCTTTAAGTATTTTTATTATGTTTCATTCCAAAGGCAAAAAGGTGAACGTAAGTCAACTCTGAAAGAGAGTATGAATTCACAGACACTCATCTACAGCGTATCAGCTGGGCTAAGCTGAGAGCTTCCCCACAGGGCAGGAGTGTGTGCTTCATCACAAGTCTGGAGCCGTGGTCTGCGCCTTTTGCTCCCTGATTCTGCCTGTGCTGAACTTTGTCCAGACAGGGTGCTTGAGAGGTTACGCATAGACAGAGGATCTCAGCTACACTGAACTGTCCTTATAGGCAGCTTTAAATAGCAATCTAAATTATTTCTTCTTAACTTGCATTTAATGTAAGATCAACAGCAGCCTTGCTTGCTTTTCTGCTACTTCTTTCATAGCTGTGACTGCTGGCTTTGCTTCATTTTAATTTTTTAAGGTGCACTTTTAATTTTTTTTTCTTTTAACAATGGTTTACTTTCTGAGTAGTTTTTTGTTTGTTTTTATTTAATGCATATCCAACTTGCAAATGCTTTGTTCATAAGGACAGGCGTCATGCTGCTTCCTGTTTTTGAAAGCATGTATGATACTGTGGATGTAACTGGAAGGGGCGAGGAATATTTTATGGTAGTAATGCAAACCCAACTTCACCTTTCTTCTGTCCTTTAGAGTCTGTATTTGCTATCTGTGAAACTGCGGCCTGAGCTCTGGGTGAAAGGAGAGAAGCCTGAGTCTCCCTCTTCCCACATCTGCCCTTGCTTTCTCCTGCTCCTTGCTGCACAGTCCTTCTTTACACTGGTGCTGTATTTGTTTGGTTAACTTTCTGCTGTTTAAGTGAGTTAAGCTGGCTCATGAAGTGGCCAGCATGTGCTAGTGGAAGTTAAGCAGTGGGCACGTGTGGGCTGGAGCAGAGGAACAGTGACTGGAGGTTCCTTTGAGAGTGCTGAGCTGTTAAGTATAGAATAGAATAGTTCCAGTTGGAAGGGACGTACAATGATCACCTAGTTCAACTGCCTGACCACTTCAGGTCTGACCAAACATTAAAGCAAGTCATTAAGGGTATTGTCTAGATGCCTCTGAAACACTGACAGGCTTAGGGCATCGACCACCTCTTTAGGAAGCCTGTTCCAGTGTTTGCCCACCCTCTTGGTAAAGAAATGCGTCCTGATGTCCAGTCTGAACCTCCTCTGACACACCTTGGAACCATTCCCAGGTGTCCTGTCACTGGATATCAGGGAGAAGAACTCAGCACCTACCTCTCCACGTCCCCTCCTCAGGAAGCTGTAGGGAGCAATGAGGTCGCCCCTCACCCTCCTTTTCTCCAAACTAGACAAGCCCAGAGTCCACAGCCGCTCCTTATAGGACATGCCTTCCAGCCCTTTCACCAGCTTTGTTGCCCTCCTCTGGACGCATTCAAGGACCTTCACATCCTTCTCAAATTGTGGGGCCCAGAACTGCACACAGTCGTCGAGGTGATGCCGTACCAATGCTGAATACAGCGGGATAATCACTTCTTTTGACTGGCTGGTTATGCTGTTTTTGATGCTCCCTGGGATGTGGTTTGCCCTCTCGGCTGCCAGTAAAAATATGTAACTGCTTTTTCAAAAGCAGCTCACATCACCCTGCTTTATTTCTGAGATATTCTGTTCCTGCAGTTACCAGAAAGCAGCTAGTGCCCAGTGGGAAATAGCGGTAGGCTGGAGTAGTTTACCCCCATCAGACTAGTCAAAGGCATGTTTCAGCACATGTTTCAATGTGGCGCACTCACTATTCTGTTCTGTGCTGTTCTTATGTATTTTTATTACTTGAAATGTTTACTCATGCTCAACTGAAGGAAAGTAAATAAGTATTGTTTCTGGAGAAGGGTGACACTTACATTGTATAGCTACCGGAATGTTTCAAGCTCCAGTAGGCAGCTTTCAGCTTTAACATTTGTAACTTGTTTTTAAACTATAAAAGACAAGTGTTTAGGTTTTCATGCTTATGCCATGCTACTTTGTTTCAACTGTGACCTGATTTTATTTTACTACTTTTGAGGATGAAGACCCATTTTTCTTTCATCGATACTGTGTTATATGTAGAAATCACTTTGTATTGCACTGATCCCTGAAAGTGCTGAATTTAAGGAAATAAGTGTAAACTGTAAAATAATTGCAGAAACTCCCCTCTCTTCATTTCTCTCCTTTCTCTTACAGGCAGAAATTTTTCAGGAATTTGCTGTCCAGGAGGAATCGGTGACGTTCCGGATCAATTTGTCTGTTCTTCTTGACTGCTTGACCATTTTTGGTACCAGTTCTTTGCTAGGTATGGTGCATATTTGCCTTGACAGTGTATGTGTATTACGTGCAATCATACAGTGAAGCCTGTATATAGCTATAGGGAGATTTCCAGCCTTGGCAAAACTTCTGACTTCCTCACCTTAAGTCCTTCTGAGCGTGGCAGCTGTTGCTGTTAAGCAGGATCCATCCTGTTTACTTAAGCTAATTACTGTGCTGTGATAACAGTCGATGGAGAGAATAAATGAGCTCATGGATGTGAGCCTAGCCAGTGTGTCAGGGACCGCTGCAGCAGGAGAGGCTAAAAGAAGCTGATTCAATTTGGAAGATGGAATAAAGATACATGTCTGTGTGATGCTATTGGGGGAACTGAGAAACAGAGGAGTCTTCCTGTGAAGATAATGTTTCCTGGATCTGTGTCAGGCACAAAAGAACCGCTTGTTTTGGGAAAGAACCCTTTTGTGGCATGAGGTCCAATGAACAGCCCCAGCTTGTACCCTTGCTCTGGTTTGGGGTTGAAGATCTCAAATAGCTTCTGTAATCATAGAATCATAGAATCATTAAGGTTGGAAAAGACCTCTAAAATCATTGAGTCCAACCGTCAACCCAACACCACCATGCCCACTAAACCATGTCCCTAAGCGCCTCATCTACACGTCTTTTAAATACTTCTAGGGTTGGTGCCTCAACCACTCCCCTGGGCAGCCTGTTCCGAGGCCTGACCACTCTTTCAGTAAAGAAATTTTCCCTAATGTCCAATCTAAACCTCCCTTGGCGCAACTTGAGGCCATTTCTTCTCGTCCTATCGCTGGTTACTTGGGAGAAGAGACCACCCCCCACCTCACTACAACCTCCTTTCAGGTAGTTGCAGAGCGCGATGAGGTCTCCCCTCAGCCTCCTCTTCTCCAGACTAAACAACCCCAGTTCCCTCAGCCGCTCCTCATGAGACTTTTTATCTAGACCCTTCACCAGCTTCGTTGCCCTTCTCTGGACGCGATCCAGCACCTCAATGTCCTTGTAGTGAGGGGCCCAAAACTGAACACAGTATTTGAGGTGCGGCCTCACCAGTGTCGAGTATAGGGGCACGATCACCTCCCTACTCCTGCTGGCCAATCTTGATAAGAAAACACATCAAGTAATTTGTTCAGGCATCTCTGGCAAGTTGTGTGATGTTTAGGCTGGAATTCTGACTCTGAGGCCAATGCTGTACCCTAGGACAGATATATGCTGTGACTGCATTTCCTGTTGATCTGTTTTCAGTCCAGGGCCCAGATCATCCATATCACACAAATGCTGATTTGTTCCCAAGTGCCTTTCACTTAAGGGAAAAACCTGGGCACAGCTGGCAGAATAGTTCCTCTGCAGCCCATTCAGGGTAGTCAGTATGGATGTAGAGAGCGCCAAGGTTCCCTCTACTAGGGACGGTGCTTCACACTGTCACATGCTTTTAAGTGGCCAGCAGGGCAGGTGCATGTACCCTCAGCATCAGGCCAAAAAACTACCGCTTGGGCAAGCTGGGGCAGCCTCTTACCAGAGCTGTCACTTCGAGCTGAAAAGGCATGAAAGCTCTCAGTACATCTTAAGGCCACAGGGGACCCACATTGGGCTTACAAGGGACTCAGGCTGACTCATTGCTGTGAACTGTAGCAGAAATCAGCACACTGAGAGGCAGTATAGACATAGCTTGGAATTTGTCTTGCTAACAAAAAATTTTGTTATCAAACTATCAACTCAATAATAAATGTGATCTCTTTTCCAATATTTCTGTGGCTTGTGCAACGCTGGAACATCCAGCTACCTCAGAAACATTAACAAGCGTAGCGTGTATTAGGAAGTGTTCTGGTGCAGGTTTACTGGGTTTGAAGAAGCCTGCAGGGGTTCCAGGTAGCACCATTGGTTCACTGTGCTCCTGCTCCCAATGCAATAGCTGCTATGTGGCACCTTCTGTTCCTTCCCTTCTTCAGGCTACACCTGCATCTGTTTTGTGAGCATTATCTCCAGTTTGCAGATAAGGTACTGAGGAATGATACGCATACCTAAGGTCTCACAAGAAATCTGCGGCTGGATGGGGTAGCACTTTAGATCTTGCTTACCAAGTGTGTGAATTACAAAAATCAAGCAGACTGTATTGTTGATCCTGTTTGTAGTCTTTTCAGTGACAGAGGTGCATGGGAAGCTGCCTTCACAGTTATGTACACAAATATTGAATTACATGAACCCATTTGTTTAAACAAAAAAACGCCAGGTCTTAGCAAAGTTTATCTCCTATAAATTAATTTTTTTTTTTTTACTTGATGGTTGTTCAAAAAATATTTTCACAAGCAAAAATAACTACAAGTTAGCATGACTGTATGGTTGCTACAGGATGCACTGTGTACTCATGTGGAGTAGAGTGATACCATGACATTTTTTTGGGGCAGTTCTATCATTTCAGCTGTGTGTTGAACTCCATGTTCCTCTGCTGCTTCTGTTGTGACTCTGACCTAAAGACCTAATTCAACTGTACTAAACAGCACTCTGATTTTGGGAAACCAAACATTCAGATTATGATTACCTAGCAAAAGGAGGATGTGACCGTAATGCAAGCCAAGCTGCATTAACTTCAGTTTGGGTTGCACAAGTTTCGAGAGTAGTAAAGAAAGACAGTGTGAGCCAGAGAGCGCCTCAGGACCATGGAGTATTTTCCAATTCCACAAAACTATTTGTAGCATATCCAGCTTTATTGTCACAGCTAGTGTTACATGTTTGGTACGTGACACGAGTTGGATTTGAACTGGTGCTTACATACAAATCATTTCATTTTGCTGCATAACCATTAGCACTTCATAGGGTGTCTAGGAGGCTGCACTAAGCATGCTACATTAGTGTATTGGAGGCTGGACCAAACATGCGAAATCAGATTGATCTCTGCCCCGTATGCCAGTAAAATGTGAATTTTCTAAAGTGATCAGATGTGCTAGCTAGCTCTCTGAAGAATGTATATTTCATTCTCTTTTTCAGGAACATCAACGGCCCTTAGGATGTGTTACCGTGGTTATGGTTATCCCTTGATGCTGTTCTTGGAAGAAGGAGGAGTAGTGACAGTGTGCAAAATTAACACTCAAGAACCTGATGAGTTGTTAGACTTTGATTTCTGCAGTACAAAGGTGGTGAATAAAATTATCCTGCAGTCGGAGGGGCTACGAGAAGCGTTTGCCGAACTGGATATGACCAGTGAAGTTCTGCAGATTACCATGTCTCCAGAAAAACCCTACTTCAGGTACTGGAAACTATGCTTTCAACTCAAATGTTTGTGCTTGGCCTCTGTTGGTAAGGACTAGAAGTTTTCAGGGTGAAGAGGAGGGACCTATTTTAGAATATTACTTTATTTTAAGGAGAATTGTAGTGAGTCTAGCAAATCACAGTATGTAATCTAATTAACATAGCAATGAATATATTGACAACCTGGTAAATGTGACACTGATATGGACAGTTTAGCATTTTGAATTAAATAAAGCAAAACAAACAATAGTGTTTTGTGAAACAGCCATTGGAATATGCAAGATGACTGATTCTGAAGAATTTTTTAGAGAGCTGTGATCAGGTATTTTGAGATGGTACCTTTTGTCTTCCAGGTTATCCACTTTTGGAAATGCAGGAAGTGCACATCTGGACTACCCTAGGGACTCTGATTTGATGGAAGCATTCCACTGTAGCCAGACCCAGACAAACAGGTTAGGAAGTCTGTGATCAGTGCCCTCTGTGGCAGGTCATGCATTCGTGCTGGAAAGTTTAAAAACTGTTTTTGCCTTACTGTAACATTTATTTCACTAGTACGGGGGGAAAAAAATACTTCCCATATGATAAAAGTCTGTGTCTGCGATCAAAAGCTAAGCGATAACAATGTCTGTCCGATATTACCAGGAAAAGATCAAATTAGTACATTCCTAATTGTTTTTTAATTATTCTGTGGCTTTAATTGGGAGTCATGTTTCAGCTTCTCTCTGCACAATTTCTTTTTTTCAGATGACTTTTTTTCGCCCCCCCTGCAGGTACAAGATTTCTTTGCTTAAACCATCTACAAAGGCACTGGCTTTATCTTGTAAAGTGTCCATTCGAACAGATGCTCAAGGATTTCTTTCACTGCAGTACATGATAAGGAATGAAGATGGACAGATATGTTTCGTGGAATACTATTGTTGCCCTGATGAGGATATTACTGAAGCAGAACTGTAGGTGTATGTTTCGGCGTCTGTATTTTTTTTCTGGATACATAAAATACTATATTTTTTTATAAAACTGGATGAAAGCTGTAAAGATTGATAGACTTGATGTTGTCAATTTCTTTAACTTTGGAATTAGAAATACAAAGACTTCCTTTTTATTCTCTTGCAAACATTTCTTAGCCTTGACTCAAAAAACTGAAGCTGAAAAAGCAAAAAGGGGAGTTGATCTCCTATAGCCACTGATTCCAGCACAGATGTTAAAGTGGTGTTTGTGTAATACGTTGCTGCTTTTTACAGTGTTCTCCAAGAATTTTTGTTTGTGTTTTGTTTTTTGTCTTTGGCTTGTTCTAAGCAATTAGAGAAGGGAAAATCTGAGTACTAGCTGTATCTTAGCCAGTTAACTTTCAATGACTTAAAAATAAAACCGAATTTGTCTTGAAAGAGGGATGACATTTTCAGACTGATTTCTTAATAGCAGCAGGTGGTTTCTTTCTGGCAAATGCTGACGTGTTTTGCTGGTGAAGCCACTAGGCTTCTCCTCATCTTGATTAATTCTTAATATAACTCAATTCCTTGGAATTTCATCTGATACCGATTTACCGTTTTGTCTGCAATACTGGTGTTGAATTGGTAAATTAAGATAGAAGCCAGGATTTACTTACTCGTTACTCATAACTGTTCTGGCAACATTATTGTTTTGTATCTAGTAATTTATTACACATCCGCCAGAATGCTGCTGCTGAAATGTTCCTGTATGTACATGTCCCCGTTCCTACCCTGCTGCTCTCTGCTAATGCTGTTAAGAATCGTAAGAAGAGAAAAAAGTTTCATATTTGAAATTATTTGTGAAATTTGTTTACCTTCTCAATAACCTTTTTCAGCAACAGGAGGGACTTTCCTAAAGGAAGGGAATAGTCTGCCTGTGTCCCATGGAGTGGTGTATTCATATCACTGCTAAAAATGGGCCTAACCTCTCACTCTCTGAAAAGGGAGTGCGGTTTCTGGAGTTTTCTGCAGTGGCCAGCTTTGCAGAACAGTAAGGTGGGCTGTACTTAGGTCAAAAGTTGCACCTCTCTTTTCACACCTCTCGGTTGCAAGCAACCTGCTCAAAACAGGAGGTCCACCGCACCACCTGGGTGTTGAGCCAGGTGCAGAGACTGCAAATCACACTGCAAGAGGCTGAAGTCCTCCTGCCTTGCTGCCGTGGGATGTGATCCAAGAGTCGGCGATCTGTGGATAGTTTCTATAGCTTTAGACTGTAATCGAGTTTTGTTGTTTGTCAGAAGATGAGGTCCTGCTTAGCATATGTGGAAAACAGTATGTTCATGTGTTAACAAGTCGATTGCTCCAACAGGATCCAAGTCCTTTGGGTTTATTTTAAGTTTAAAATCCTTTTGTTGACTGTTTTTCACCTCTTGCTTATGTCAGCAGGAGTATACTTTCACAGTACACAGTGTCAGCAGTTCACTTTTGTTGTCTTCCGTGCAGATCATCCATTTATTGCAATAAATTTACTTTTGAAAAACAGTTACGAATCTTTGAACTACAGGACTGATAAAGATACTTAATAGTATTCTAAATTACTCTCATTTACCATCTTCAGGGTTTTTTTCAAGCTTAAGTATTCGGTATAGGTTAATTTCCTTTTGGCTTACTGTCTTAATTTCTACAGTGAAAATATTATGGTCTCATTAGGAATTATTAATATTATCTTTGACTACTGAGTGTTAAGAATGATTTACATGATCTCTGGGTGACAGGATAAAAATGAAACAGAACACATCACTTAATGTGATTTATTTTAGAGTATCAAAGTTCCATGTATTGTGTTCAAGGGCATTACTGTGGCTTAACATTTGTACTTTTATATAATTGCCTACAGATGTACTATATTACTTCTTAAAATAGTACTTCTAACAATTTTGTCTGTAATGTACCAACAGTGATCATGGAAATAATATCCTAGGAAGTTAGAACACCACAAAATACCAGAAAGTTACTGTTGCATTTCATAAATAACAGCTATTAGAGACATGCAGGGTTTGTGCAAGGCTTATGTGTGTACCACCCTGGACCAAGTCAGGGCCTAGACTCACAAAGGTGGGGAGGTGCTTAGAATCATAGAATCATTAAGGTTG